GTCTACTTAAGGTGCCGTCTGAAACACGTACAATTGAAAGCATGACTCAGAGACTCAGAGGGGGTCTGCTGGGGAGTTAAATTCAGAAGGTGATGGTGACTGCTGGGTGGGGCTCCAAAGGGGCAGGCTTGTTTCTCTGGACACAAACAGGACAATCGTGGGGGCTTATGAAAGGGTTTTGAGAAAATCGAAAACTGCATTGGAGAAAAGTTGCATGGAAGAATTTCTTTCAATCAGGACAATGGCCCTGGCTCCTTCTTCATGAGGAGCAGGGCTGTCTTAGGAGAAGTTCACTGGGAAACCTTGCCCCATCCACCCTACAGCCCTGATCTTGCTCCATCTTTTTGTTCCCCAAACTCAAAGCACATTTATAAGGAACACCATTGGAGTCCCTTGAGAATGCCCAAACTGCCATCTTGACCTGGTGTAAACCAAACAGCCTGGAAGTGTTTGGAGGTTTCAAAACAGTAAATGCCACTCCTAGAAGTGTGCCTGTTGAGAAATAATAGCTTCATATTTTTATATTTTTATTTAATAATGATCTCTAAGATTTTATAGCAATACTTTTTGGCATTGCCCACATATATAAAGTATTTAGTGGTCCCACTGCTGGTGTCATTTATTATTATTTCTATGGTATTTCATATTTTCAAGGAACTGCTCAGTAACTCCAAGTAGGTACAATGCACTCGAAACAAGACTAAAGCTACTCGACCCAGGAAGCAGGAGAGCATCCCCCAAAGGAGTTGAGTAGGCAGGCAGACAGCTGGGTCAAGAAACTTAATAATAAAAAAAAAGAAACTTCTTAGTTGGACTTACAGAATCTGAATTCAAAATGTCATCAGTAGGCTAGAAGGATGAGCCAGTGCTCATGTGACGGGGTCAGCGTGCATCAAATGAGTGTTGGGAACTGCTCTTTATGCTATGAGAATCTTGGCTTCCTCAGTAGGATACACTTCCTGGCTTTCCATGCTCATCCCCAAGGGGCAGTGACAATCTGGACATGCGGGTTAAAAAGAAGTGACTCTCAGGAGGAGGACACTGGAAAACTGCATGTATGACAACAGGAGGGCACGGGAAGCTAGTTACGGTGAAGTGGTTGACAAACTCACATGGAAATGATGTTGGACTGACTTACGGGATGTTAGGAGGAGGGACCAAGGCCTTCGGTAAAAAGTATAGGTCTTGTGGGTGAAGGGAGACGTCTGACAGGGCAAGATATGACAAAATAATAATTTATACATTATCAAGGGTTCATGGGGGCGGAGGGGGGGAAATGAGGTGTTGATGCCAGGCAGGAGTTTACATGAGAATGATGAGGGTAACGAATGTACAAATGTCCTTTATACAATTGATGTACGTATGGATTGTGATGAGGGTTGTATGAGCCCCCAATAAAATGATATAAAAAAAAAAAGTACAGGTCTTCCTTCTCTCCACATTAGAATCTTATGACAGAGGACCAGTAGTGGTGCCTCGGGTGCAGCAAAAGAGGAAAACCTTGACAAGATGGGTAGACGCAGTGGTTGCAGCCATGGGTGAAAACAGACGAACAACCGCGCAGATGGTGCGGGGCCAGGCAGTGATGTTTCCTTCTGTTGTACACTGGGGTTAGGGGGGGTGGGGGTGGGGGGTTATGAATCTGAAACGACCCGACAGCACCTAACCACAGCAGCCATCGACCCTGTGGGGACGCTGTTAGGATGTGAGCAGTAGACTGCATAGAGGGAGCGAGGGGGCACACGCTGCCCTGTGAGACCTGAGACCGGAGGAAGTCTGGGCCTGAGGCCTAGCATCCAGTTGTGAACCCCCGTGGGAACTGGGTTGCCTTCTCACTCTATTCTCTCTCTCTCAGGGAAACAAAAGCAGAGGCCATGTCTCCTCTTCAGGGAGAGAACTCCAGTCACCCAAAGGAGGCAGAGCCCTTGAACCCAGAGCTTACTCTCTCTTTGGAGGGGACCTTGAACCTAGAGGACATTCTCTACCTGGGAGACACAGGTGACTTTGAGGAAACACTATTTGTGGAAGAGCCCGAGAAGCCAGAGAAGATGCTGTATATTGAGGAGACTCTGCAGCCAGATGAGGCGCTGTCGGAAGAGGAGCCCTGGAAGCCAGAAGGGACACTCTCTGTGGCTGAGACTGGGCAGTGTGTGGAAGAGCTGGTGGCACCAGCACCAGCCACACCCCCAGAGCAGGTGGAAGACATGGGAGAGGTGATCCCAAGGGAAGAGAACTCCCACCCAGAGGAGAGCCTCGGTGCTGGCCCCAGCCCCGAGGAGGCCCTGAGCATCGAGGACCTGGAGTTGCTAGAGGGGCGCTTCCAGCAGTGCGTGCAGGCTGTGGCCCAGCTGGAGGAGGAGCGGGATCGGCTCATCCACGAGCTGGTGTTGCTCCGGGAGCCGGCCCTGCAAGAGGTGCAGCAAGTCCATCAGGACATCCTGGCCGCCTACAAACTGCACGCCCAGGCCGAGCTGGAGCGGGACGGGCTGCGGGAGGAGATCCGGCTGGTCAAGCAGAAGCTCTTCAAGGTCACCAAGGAGTGCGTGGCCTACCAGTACCAGCTGGAGTGCCACCGGCAGGACGTGGCCCAGTTTGCCGATTTCCGGGCAGCCCTGACTGCACGGGCATCCCAGCTCTCCGAAGAACTGGCCCAGACGAGGGATGCCTGTCAAAAGCAGAAGGAGCACTTGCAACAACAACTAGAAGCACCCCCGCGCCAGAGGGATGGGCACTTTCTCCAGGAGAGCAGGCGGCTCTCCACCCAGTTTGAGAACCTCATGGCGGAAAGCCGGCAGGGCCTGGAGGAAGAGTATGAGCCTCAGCTGCTCCGGCTCCTGGAGAGGAAAGCAGCGGGCGCCAAAGCCCTCCAGAAAACCCAGGCGGAGATCCAGGAGATGAGGGAGGCGCTGAGACCCCTGCAGGCCGAGGCCCAGCAGCTCCAGTTGCAAAAGAGGAACTTGGAGGACCAGCTGACACTAGTGAGGCAAAAGCGAGATGAGGAGGTGCAGCAGTACAAGGTAGGTCCCGTGGCCTGAACGAAATCGGGGCTCTTAGCTTGGGAAGGGGAGGAGGGGACGTGGGGAAGTCTTTGGGGCCACGCACTCACTTTCCATTCATTCATTCTGGTCTGCACTAGGGCTGGAAAAGTATCTGCCTTCCCTCAGCACTTTCTTATCTGCTAGCTCACTAGATCCTCACAGGGAGCCTGTAAACCACGTAGTGGTAGCATTCTCTATAGCTAAGAAAACGGAGGCTCACGGAATTGGACTACCTGGAACCTTGGCCCAACCAGTTCCAAAGACCTGTTTTCACTCCAAGGCGCTACTTTCCAATTCTGACTGGATCTCACAGGATCTAGAGGTGGGGATGAGGCTAGAGTACCCATTCGGTCCCTCCTCTCCAGTTTTCTAGTCCTAAAATTGGAATGAAAGCCATATTCCCTATTATCCTTATTTGTGCATTTGTCATGCTGTTCCTTTTATTCAAGGTATTTCTGATTAAGTGTGAGCCAATTCAAATCCCTTTTTAGAACAGAGGAGGATATAAATACTAAAGGAATAAACAATTGTGTCTGCTTTGCCCACAGACTTTGAGCTTTCAGAAGGTAGGGGATAAGCTCCGTTTATCTCGGTGTTATTTTCTGCCATGCATGCCTCAGAAGTGCTGAACTGCATCTATGCTGCTGGGCACTGGGAGGCTACGGTGCAGGGCTTTTTAGAAAAGTATTTGCCATTTGAAACATGTACTCCTTTGGATAAACTTAAAAAGACAAAAAACTTGGGTCTTCCTTAAGATTCTGCTACAACTGTGAGAGAACACCCCCCTTGTTGAAAATTTTATCAACCCTTCTATTGCTTGAGTTATGAAAATCTGAGAGCCATATATTGAAGTTTGATGTATTTTATGTAACACAGCAAATGTACAATAAAACCTAACCAAGCTCACTGTCATCGAGTCAGCTCTGACTCATGGCGGCCCATGGGCCGGTGTAGAGCTGCGCCTGTAGCTGAGGCTTGCACTCTTTACGGGAGCAGAAAGTCCCACCAGCTGGTGGCTTCCAACTGCTGACCTTGCAGCTCGCAGCCCAACGACACCATCAGGGCTCCCAGATCTAAAAAAGAATCCTAACATTGAGTTAATTTTTTTTTTGGGAGGGGGTACTAATTCTTTGAGATCTGGTATTTTATATGAATAGCCTGCCTCTGTGCGAGCAACAGCTGAAGTGCTAAATAGCCACAAGTGGTCAGGAGCTTCCTATTGGGCAGTGCAGAGCTGGGGGTGCAGTGATGCCACGAACCAGATGGTGCAAAGGCTTCCCGCAGGTGCGAGAAGAGAGCATGCTCAGAAAATGAGCAACTTGGTGGCATGTAAAAGGGAAAAACACTGAAGGTAGGAGACTAAGTTTGGCCATTAATCAGGAAGCAATTGTAGGTAAGAGTTAGTGATGGCAGTGGGCATAGAAGGGGAGGCATGCAAGGAATAAACTTGGCAATGGAATGAACGAGTCAGGGAGGGAAGTTAGGGAGGATGCTGAGATTTCAGGGTGGCGCTGTCAGCAGGGAACGCTCTGGGTCAGTTTTCTGACACAGTACCCGAGAAGTTGTAGTTGGAAGTCATTCTTTCCCCTAACGATGTTCACCAAGGCCTGGGTTTGCTTTCCATTCCAAGCATCATCGTATGACACACATTCTTCCTATCAGCGGATCCTATTGCTGTACCATCATTAATGTAGAAATCAATGTGTCTGAAATGGCTGTTGGCCAGAGGTGACCTCTGGCATTTGATTGCTTTTCAGGGGTGCCCGTTTAGCCCTTAGGCTGTACTCCACTCCTACCATGTGCAAACTCTGCCTTTCATACCATCATTCATCCATCCCTAAAACAGATCAGCTTCTAAGTGCTGAGCAGTGAGTTTAAATGTTGACTAAACATAGAGATGAGAAAGCTGGGGTTTTCTGCCCTCACAAAGTCTGCAGGCCAGACTTTCAATCTATTTTTTACAATCTAAGCCCTGTTCATTTATGATGCATCCTGATTTAAGAGGTGTTACAATGTGAAAAGCAGGTTGGAAGCAATGAAATAATGAATACACCTCAATGTGACAGGCTGTTACAGTTGTAGGAATAAGAAGTAAGGACGCCATGACTGCCCCGTCTGAGGAAACGGGAAATGTCTTACTAATAGCTAACACCGTCTGAGCACTTCTTGGTGTCCACGAGGGGGTTTCCAAAGTACATGAAAAAATTCCATGACCTTTTCCATTTCCCCACAAACATTCTGAAGCTCCCCCTATATACCTCTTAAGAAACGGAACATTATTTAAGAACATGAACCCTAACCTATCATCTCCGGCAAATCATGGCCCTGCCACTTACAGGGAAATTAACTGGGCAAATTTATGTAACCTCTGTGGCTCAGCTTCCTTCTGGGCATGATGGGAATAGCGTGATCCCCTCAAAGGGTTGTTGCAAAGAATGAACAAGTCCAGGTAGGAAAAGCAGAGTTTACAACGGTGCCTGGTGCACAGGTACATACCATTAGATGGCAGTGTGGGATGTGGAAACACTACAAACCTGAAATAAAGACGATGTTAAGATTTTGGAGGAAAAACCAATGGGGTCTGGTAGCTGGTTATAATGAAGACTTTGCTGGACCGATCCCAAGGATTTTAGCTTGAGATGAGTGGATTAACAAGGGGACATGAGCAAGCATTTTGTGTATGGCAATGGACATCCTAAAAACCAGGAATCTACACACTGATGGGAAGTTAGATATAAATGACAATAAAAGGGAGCTTCAAAAAAATCCATAGAATCCTATTCTCTCTCAATTCCATCTTCAGCGAACTTTCTCAAGCCCCCCCCATACAGAAGCAGATGTCCAGTACCTCCCCTTCTTTCACTTCCGTAGTCACCCCAAGTCCCTTGCAGCTCTAACGAGTAGTCACAATGCCCATTCACTTGACTAGAGCTCTCCGACACCCTTCTTACTACGAACTCCTACTCATCCCTCATGACTCGGTTTCATTTCTTCCTGTAGTCTCCCGGGATATGGACGCTGTGGGATTCTCCTCAGCGCTTCCATGGCACCTGTCACACTCACTGACTGCATTACTATTCGTTTCTTCTCCACAGCAGAGGCTTCTTTTCGTCTCTGGGAGAAACGTATTAGGAAAAGTGGTTGAGAGTAACTGAAATATGGAATGATAGATGTATTAAATCCCAACTAATAAAAACAAGATGAGATGAAGGCCTGATGATTTGATTGATGCTGGAGACACAGGACTCCAACATGCACTGGCCCTTGCATGATGGGCAGAGCATGGCTGGGGGTGGGCGGAGCCAGAGCAGCCTGTCTAGGGGAGAGGCAGCAGGAGCAGTCAGCTCTGCCCCTGGTCAGGACAAACCTTCAATACAAAGGTCCCTTTAGATTCCTAGCAGCCACATTAAAAAATGTACAAACAGGTGAGATGTAATTCCCCCCCCACCCCCGTTTTCCAGTGACTTTTTTTATTTAGAATTCTTTTTTTTTCTTTTTAATCGTTTTATTAGGGGCTCATACAACTCTTATCACAACCCATACATACATACATCAATTGTGTAAAACACATTTGTACATTTATTGGAACCCTTGATAATTTATAAATTGATATATCTTGCCCTGTCCGACATCTCCCTTCACCCTTCTCTGTTGTCCATCCCCCAGGGAGGTCACATCATGTAGATCCTTGTAATCAGTTCCCCCTTTCTAACCCACCCTCAAGATGTAATTTTAATGTACTTTAATCCACCAATTAAAAACTATTCCTTGAGACTGTTCACATTTTTGTGTGCTATGTCTTAAACACCAGCCATGTATTTTGAACTTGGCACGTCTCCATTTGGGCTGGCCACATGTTAAGGGCTCAGTGGTTAGTGACAGTACAGGCTAGGGGACAAATTTATATGCAAGAGCAGGGGGTTAGGGGTCAAGTGAGGGTCTAACCACCAGATGCAAACAAAGCTGAAACCTTTGAAGGATTTTGAGGCGATACATTTGGGGAATGTTAATCTACCAGTGCTACATAGAATTAAGTAGCAGGAATGTTATGTCTAATACAGCATTCCTGACTTCATTCCAGTGCCGTGTCCACCCTGCCAGACCTAACCAATTCCTGACAGTGCACACGGCCTTTTTGAGCAGACATTCAGGTAGCTCACCAAGTTAATATCTGCTGTGTGGTGAGGTTTGGGAAATTGGGGCATAGAGGTATGCTTTATATACATAAATATATGGTGAGGTCTCATCTCTTCTGGGCACTGAAACATCCCCAGGGTGATTAGAGTTGACTCAGCTGAGCTACCAAACACTGCAGTTGATGTACCACAGGCACAATCATACCAACGGTGACCCAGAACCAATGACTTAGGTCATGTTGCATGTACCCAAACCAAGAGGTGAAGTCACTGTGCCTTTTACAAGGGGGCTTTCTTTTTTTTTTTTTTTTTAAACATTTTATTAGGGGCTCATACAACTGTTATCCCAATCCATACACACATCAATTGTGTAAAGCGTATTTCTACATCATTTCTCA